CTTGGTGGTACAAAAGGTATTGCTGGAGAAGGAGCCCCTCCATCATAACACCGGTTGCTATCTTCAGTCTTCCAGTGTGTCCAGACACACCAGCATGTCTGTCACAAATTTTCAGCCTCACTATGTCTTCAGTCAGCCTGTCCTCACTCTTGCATGGCCTATTTAATGTTGCCACTACTGCCAAGGTACAGAGTCGTACTCAAATCTTAACACCTTCCAACTGCATGTTGTCAATGGACTAAAATGGAGCTTCCCTCATTTCCACTGACCAGTCAGAACTGCTGATGTAGCCAAGCAGTCTTGCAGTCATGTTCCCTTCTTTTAATTTCCCTTTTCTTTTCCCTTTGAAAAAAGGGGTAGAACTATCTTCATATTGTGAAATTTTCATGGGAAACAAAACCTGCTTGTGAATAACAAAATTAGTCTTGTCATTGGCTATCATCACATTCCCGTCATCCTTCCTTCACTTTCCTGGAGGTGATCTACTGGCTGAATAATGTCTGGATCAGCAAAAACCGGTTTGAACAGTTTTTATTGTTTGAATGGTTTTTATTGTCTCTATCAGGACAGGTTCATAATAGTAGGGCAGGATGGGAGACTTCTTGTTGTGTCTAGCTCCAGTAATGCCACCTCATAAAGGTATTGCTGCAGCATGATGGGAAACATCTCACTTCTGAGGCTTTTCAAAATGGTCTCAGAGGCTGTCAGCAGAGATTATTCTAGCAGGAGTTAACCATGTGCCCTTCCAGTTCCTTGAGTTTTATGTAAGAAAGAAGCTTAAGGATAAATGAAGGATATTCTAATAAATAGTTTGTTGATCACAAACTTGAAAATATAATTGGAAAGGGAGGTGGACAAGACAATGCAAATTTAAACTGAAATCTGACATTGGATTTGCTAATTGGTAGTTTCAATGTTTCAATTAATTTGGAGAATTCTGATATGCCCTGTTTCCTCCTCACTCCATATTTCCCTTCTGTTGCATGGTAAGTACCCTATTCCATTTCATATCTTCTCTGGCCCCGATTCAAATTCCTTTCTCTCCTTGTTCATGTCAAATTAAGCCAAAGCAGGTACAGACACTGCAGCCTTTCTTTGAAGTGGAAGGCTCATTACTAGCCCTGAGCTTGTTGCCTAGTACCTCATCTGGCTAGAAAAATTAGGTTCAAAGTACTTAATTTCCAAAGTCATTAAAGAATCCTTGATGATGATCAATTTCTCTCAACACGAGATTTACATCTGATACCCGAACACTCAAAAAAAAATTATCAGACCCTGTACTTGGAGTGACTCAGCTCTCCTTGGAATGAAGAAATCTGAGGAGAAATTACCAAACAGAAAGCTAAATCCACATGCAATTAAGCTATGAAAGACATATGAAACATGAAATATAAATACAGATGCAGATTAGGCACATTTGAAAGAAGTCCACCATGGATCCTTAATAGTGTATATGTGATTTCCCATTCAGGAAGTAGTTAAAAATATGGTTTCTATGATCTTGGAAAAAATCATAGAATTGTAGAATGATAGAATACCAGGTTGGGAGGGACCTCAAGGATCATCAGATACTTTCTTGACAAAAGTATGTGGAGAGAGGAATCCTTCTGTGTCCTTTCCGTAGGCTTCCCCAAACATCTGGCAGTGGCCACTGTCATGGGCAGAAGAGGAATGTCTTTTGGCCTGACACTGTATGGTTTTCTGTGTTCTTGTGGTTTTATCCCCAAATCTTTTTCTTTACTCGAGGGCCCTTTGCTGATATTCTTAAAAGCTTATTCTGCATTAAAAGAGCAGTTTTATTTGTGTGTATTCTATCTACCTACACCTTTTGTGGGCCTTCGACTTAAGTTTTTCCTGCCTGTGGATCAGACACGTGTTTAAAGGACTGTACACTTAGATATATTTTTAAGTTGCAGGCTAATAAATTTCCAGGTTTGTTTTTGTTTTTTTGTTGTTTTTTGGGGTTTTTTTCTCTTTTTCCACTTTGTGTGAATTAAAAGTTTTTGAGTATTCCTATGGCCTCTTGTTCTCTCTGTATCTCATCCCTATAGCTCTATGTAAGCACAGTGGACGCTCAAAAATGTGACAGTGCTTCTGAACAGTGTTTTTTTACATAATTAGCATATTTGTTCTTCAACATTGCTTCATATTATACAGAGGGAAAAATTGTAAAGGTCCTTGTAAAGAGGCTGAAAAATGCTTAACATAGGTTAATTTCAAAACTGAGTCGTACTCTCTCCACTGATTTTAAATGCAACAAAACATCTTGGGCATAAAAGACAGCTCTCTTTTCCTATATTTTTACTTGAATCCTGCAAAGTGTACTTTTAAATAATTAGGCAGGAGAACAGGCATCAAATGCCTATTATGAATGATCTCATAAGCGTATTATAAACCAAGGAATCACCACCAGCTTGGCTCATGAATGACTGTAACAAGGTTATATCAAGGCAGCGAGACTGGAAAAGTGAAAACGAAAGAGCTTTCTATTTGTTCAGCAGACAGGTGAAATGCAACAATAGCATTGGAAAAAGAAACAAACAGAAGAGACAGAAGCCGAGAGGTCAGTGAGGGAAATGGCCAACTTTACAAGTGCTTTTGAAATGAAACTTGGCTGTGAGTCAGTTGGACCTCAAGCAAACAAATGAACAGAAAAGTGGCAGATAAGTTTCACTGTAGATAAAGGTGAGTCAGTGCAGATCGAAAAGAGTCATTGAAACCTCGTGTGCCTGATGCTGAGCTCAGCAGTGGCACTTATGCTCAGGAAAGAGATCTTAGTCACTGCTGCTTCTCCTCTGAAATCAATGGCTCTGTGGGAGTCAGCAGAGAAAAAAAGTCAATTTAAAGCTTAGTATCACCCAGAAACAAGGTAGATTACATTACTCTGCTGATCTGTGAAACTTTGGCATGTGTAAGCAGACCCTGACTAGTGGTCCAGTTCAGGTCTCCACATCATGGCCACACCTTTCAGTTAAAGAAGTTATCCTTGTTTCTACATGATCGAAGGGGTGAAGCCTTACCAAGGATGCAGTCATTTTTGACATGAAAAAGATGAAGGGGAAATCTGAGTGCCCTTTAAAAAATCCTGTAGGTAATAAATAAACTGAATGTTGAACTGTAATTCATCAATATTAGTAATATTATTAGAAGGGGCACTTGTTGAAATAAGTAGGATGTGAGTTTAAAATGTATAAAATTTTCATGCAACAGTAGCAGTGCTGGAATTGGAGACCACAGGCGTTTGTGGAGGTAGATTGTATCACAGGGTCAAAAAGAGATTTAGGCAACTCTGTGACCAAGGGTCCACAACAGGTGCTGAAAGGGAAGGATGAGGATGTACTGTTTAACATTCCTAATTCGGTGACTGTGGGGACTGGAGGAGCACAAGGACTATGAGAAGGGACTGTGGATAAGCCAGGCATATGTACAGCATGTCATTCTGCCAGACGAAATACTGACTGAGAAGAGCACCTACTCTTAATCAGTGCATACTATTATGGTCTTAAAACTATCTATTGAACGATGTTTTACCCTGTGTCTTCTGGTATCCATACCTAGATGCCATAGCCATGTGTTTGAGTGATGTGGAATGGTGCTGGAGTTCTCAGATACGAAATAGCCTTAAAAAGAACCAAATGAATTTTGGTACATGATGCTGGGACTGTATTGAAGAGCTTCCAAGGCTATGTTCCTAGTTTTGGTTCCGGCCAAGCCTTCCCTCAGCTTCTTCAGGATGGGCAGTTTCCAACTAGTACAGATGATTTGCAACTGGTACTGCCTACCAACTGCTCCCCTCTCCCTGTAGTTACACTAAGTAAAAGGTATTTGTGCAGGTGTTTGAGATGACCAGAGGAGGACAAGTTTCCAAGGAATTTCTTCTAGAGTGTATTAGTTCAGAAAACACATCAGAAGTTTAACTTTAGATATCTCTAATGGCAGTTCTCCAACTATTGAAAAGAAGTTTTCTATAGAGATGCAGGTTTTCCAACATTTTAAGTTACACCTTCTGAAAACCTCAAAAACTACATTTTAGGCAATAGTACTCATAGCAGCTGCCACGAAACTAAGTGCTCTTGCTATTTGGAGTGCTTCTGGTTCCTGTCTCTGAGCTGATGAAAGATGAAATTGGCCGTTGCAAAATTATGAAAACAGGCTTCTAAAAGTCCAGTTTACTCCCCAAACTATTTGTGTCTGTTGGTCTTGTCATCAAGGCACTGAATAACCAAATAATGGGTCAAGTTACTGGAATGCCTGACAACCCAGTGCTGCTTGGGCACTGCAACTCAATCAAGTAGTTCAGTTTGGGTTAGGACTTGTTTGTCATTTGGGGCCAGTCCTAAGCAGTGGAGCATATTTGCACTTCTATTTTTTTTTTTTTTTTTTTTTTTTTTGTTGTTGTTGTTGTTGTTGTTGTTGTTGTTCCTATTTTTAAATTATTATTATTTTTAGAAGATCACCAGGATTCAGGCACGAGAGCCCGTGGGACTGTGACCCTTTGTTGCTGGCGGTCGGGCAGAGCGGGTCCCGAGGCTGGGACCTTACAGCCCGTGGCTGCTGGCGCCCATCTGCGCACGGAGCTTGGGCACTGCAACTCAACGAAGTTGTTCAATTTGGGTTTGGACTTGTTTGTTATTTTTGGCCAGTCCTAAGCAGTGGAGCGCCTTCAGCCCGGTGCCGCTGACGCGGGGAGGGTGAGGCAGAAGGGCGTTCCGAGGAGCTGCTCCTTACTCCGGGATGGTTCCCGCAGACCGGCTCTTTCCCGGCCGGTCGGGCCAGTTTCGTTTCCCGCTGGCTCCTCCTTCGCCTCCACCCGCTGCGCTCCGCTCTGCCGCTGTCCCGGCTCCCCGCTCCCGCTCCGGCTCTCCGCTCCCGGCTCTCCGCTCCCGGCTCTCCGCTCCCCGCTCCGGCTCCCCTCTCCCCGCTCCCTGCTCCCGGCTCTCTCTCCCGGATCTCCGCTCCCGGCTCCCAGCTCCCGGCTCTCTCCCGGCTCTCTGCCGGCGATGCTGCGGCACTGTGCCCCGGGCTCACCGGGCCCCCGGTCCGTCCGTGCCCTGCCGCCCTCCGCCCGCGCCCTGCGGCAGCGCCTGCGCCAGGTGAGCACCGCGGGAGCGCAGCCGGCCTTGGGCTCCTCAGCCAAAGCCGTGGGGCCGGCGGATGCCCAGGGACAATCCTTTACATGGAGGGGAGGGCAGGTTCCGACCAGATGTAAGGAAGAAGTTTCTTTGAGATGAGGGTGGTGACGGATGTCCCATCTCTTGAAGCCTTCCAGGTCAGACTGGACAGGCTCTAAGAGACCTGATCTAGTTTAGGATGGTTCAGTGCACTGCATGGGGGTTGGACTAGATGGTCTTTGAAGGTGTCTTCCGACCCAACACATTCTGTGATTCTGTGATCTCTCCTTGCAGTATGCAGAACGGATCCCAGAGGCTGAAGCAGTACTCGACATACTGGAGAAATGTCCAGAGCACCAAAAAAAAGGAGGTTTTCCCGTCGTAGTTTTTGAGGGACTGGATGCCACAGGTAAGAGCAACGTGTGATTGAAGAACCACAGATGAGAAATTGTTGAAAGGAGCAACTGCTCTTTTTTATTGGCATAAGGCTTTAAAATAAAATTAAAAAAAAAATCTCAGAAACCTCTGACAGATAAGGAATTAATAATTACAAATGCCAATCTGTCTTCTCTTACTTATAGAAGATTAGTATATGCTAAATTACATTCAGTGATTTAATTCCTTACCTATGCAAATGAAAGAATACAGAGTAAATTACTGAACATTAAATTTCTTGTGCAGATAATGAAACATACTTTTACGGAAAGTTTTCAAAAAAATGAAGTAAAATAGTGGTAGTCTGGGAAACTGCCAGCAGTTTTACTAAGAGAGAAATATTACTTGCCTCTGACTAGCTTTGTTTTTTGACTTGTCAGTTAAAGAGAACTGGAAATCCCCATAAAAAGAAGGAATTGGATGACCAGCACAGCAACATTCACATAAATTGCAACCTAGAAAAATATTATAAATAAATATATAGGGGAATATATATATGAATATATAGAGAAATTGCCACGCACCTAATGCATTTAAGGGAGTGAAGAGTGAAAGCTTGCTAAAGGAAGGGCTGGAAGGCCCAGAGAGCAGGAAGGGGAGTATTAATTCCTGCAACCAGACTCAGAATCATTTTCCACTGGAAATCTTATGACAAGATGCTCGGGTTACATATTCAGGTGTCAGAACTTGTGCTCCACATGAACACAGACAGGGACATTTTCCAGTTTTTAAAATTCAAGTGTATCTTGTAAATAATGTAACGAATGTTTCTTTCTGTGGATGAAATGTAGGCAAAACCACGGTGACCCAGGCTGTTAAGGACACCCTGAATGGCATTCTGCTGCAGTCCCCACCAGCTTGCATCAGCCAGTGGAGGACTGTATTTGATGATGAGCCAACACCCATTAAAAGAGCATTTTATGCTGCAGGCAACTACATTCTGGCTTCAGAGATAGCAAAAGCGTCCACTCAGGCACCTGTGATCATAGACAGGTTTGTATATTTAAGAAGCGCTCTCATATCAGTGCCATCATACAGTTGTTCAGTGTTACAAGCAGTCAGTGATTGTGTTTCTTCAGGGGTTTTGCTTTGGATTTGTTTAGGGTTTTTTTGGAAGTATTCTGCAGATACTCAGATAAATATTATATCTTCTAAAGAGTAAAACTTACAATAAAAGTAAAAGAGGGAACTTCAAACAGTGTAATTCTCATAACTAGCTTTAGGACACTATGAAAATTGTTACATCTTCAGTTAAGAATAGTGGAGGCACAGATTGTGCATCCTGGGCTAAGCCAGTGTTTTGTGATAAACTAGAGGAGACTGTGGGCTGCTGGTCATGTCTGTCTCTAAGATGTGTCTGAGATATGGGTGGATTGGAATAACTGAGTTTTAGATAGACTTACTCTTTGTGAACTTAACGCCAGAGATATACTTCCTACTTTTTTGAGTTTGCTTGTGCTTTTTCTGATTTTCACTAACTGTATAGGCAGCTCACAGTATTATTGTTAGTAAAAAACTCTAGATGTACTTTGAACCCTCTGGCTTATTTCAGTAGGTGTACTGTAACCTCCTGCTACAACACACACACACACACACACACACACACACACACACACACACACAGATGTTGTTTGCCTGTGAGTGCTATTTTTAACCAGCCTCAAATCCACTGAAATCTATCAATCACAGTGCCTTGTAGTGGAGAGAATGTTAAATGCAAGTGAAATTAGTAACATTAGTAATGCCTGTGTTCATTCCCATGTTTGTGAAGACTGCATGTTCTCTACCAAATCTATTGCATTAAGTAGGCTGGGAACCACTGAAAAGGGGACTCAGAGTAAAGGATTTCGAGATACATTGTAACTCTTCTTTGACCTGTCTCGATATATTAGGAGACTTTCTTTTGATAGGAGTATATGTAGCAGTCTTTACAAAATGTTATAATTAATAGTTCACGTTAACTCTGAATAGCACACTGAGTATTATCATGGTTAAGAGATAATGGATAACACAGAACTGTTACTTGGATTTCCCTTCAAAACCATGGTGTCACATATCTCATCATTATTGACTTGTTGTTACAATGCCAACTGTCTCCTCTATTACTGAAGAATTAATGTTCTCTTTAAAATTTCTCTCCCTCCATTTTGTATTTTCCTGACAGATACTGGCACAGCACAGCTGCCTACACAATTGCCACTGAAACAAGTGGGAAAGTCCAGGATCTTCCACCAGCTCAAGATGAGGTGTATCAGTGGCCTGAAGATCTGCTTAAACCTGATCTTGTTCTTCTCCTGACTGTTGACCCTGAAGAACGAGCCCGGAGACTTCAGCATCGGGGGCTGGAAAAAACAAAGGAGGAAGCTGAGCTGGAAGCTAACAGCTTGTTTCGCCAAAGGTACACTTTAATGGGGAATGAGAGGCTGGAGGCAATCTTGGCTCCTGTGGGGTCAATAACAAATGTGCTTCTCATATTATTGGAAAAAGAATTTCCTTTGTGTAAGATTTTTGTTTTGGTTTTGGGTTTTTTTGGGAAGAATGAATGGCTGTCAGGGAGGGTAAATTCTGTCACTTCTAATTGAAAGTGTTTGAAAGATGACGATGTATAATTTAATTGTCCTGTAAAGGAGCTTTGAGTTAAAATACTTCTATTTTGCTTTGCTTCTTTTATTTTATTTTAGCTTCTTTCTTAGTGAGGTCATAAAGGAGACGGACTTAAAAGTTCCAGGACTGGGAGGCAAGAAGTTGAAACACAGAGCTTCCCCAGGAAATTCTGGAAGTGAGCTCCAGATAAAGAGAATAAAATGTAAACATGCTGTTGTAGATGTCTTTAGTTGTGCAAAGTGTCTCAGGTACCAGTGTAGTCAATACAATGGATTGCTTTGTCAATACAGTCAATTCAAAGTGATTAATCTCGCCACTCGTTTGGAGCTCAGTGATCTAAACTTAAGTGTCTGAAGCCTTTTGATATAAGATGTGATCCAGAACCTGTGGACACTTCCTGGGCTAGGAATTGGAAGCTAAAGGAGATAGTCCAGAGCATCTTAAGCAGTACGAGGTGCATTAACTTAAGCAGCTGAATGACAGCCTAGGTATCCTGCTTCAGAGTGTGCTGAATTGCTGTCTGGACATTACATTTTACATTTCAATTCTGTCACTGCAGATTCGTGTCAGAAAGCCTTTAGTTATTTCTACCTGTTAATAATGTCAATCTGAATAGGAGAACATCCAGAATCTTCCTTGATTTGTTTTGAGACTTCTGTCCTGAATGGCATTATGGTAACATAGGAAATAATACTCACATCCTCATTCACACCCTCAAAGACTAAATGTGGGAGAGCTCTGCATTATGCTTATAGCCTAAGTGAGGCGGTTTTCACCCTGTGTTTTATCCTGTTATTCATTTAGTTAGTTGATCAGAGGAAGGAGTTGAATGATATGTCAACCCTGTAATCCAAATCCAGTGAGTCAAAGCTGAGATCAGTCAATGAGCACAACTACACAATGCAATGCCATATAGTTCAGAGATGCCTTAGCAGAAACTGAAAAAAAAAACAAAAACAGGTGCTAGAAGCAGACTGTCCATTCTACTGCTATACCAGACTCTATCCAGTGATAAGCTGTAAAGAAAGAAATACTTTATGCCATGCCATGTTAATATGGCTGGAACTCTGGGAATCAATGTCAAGGAAACTGTGTGCTTTGAGATTTACATTTTAATAGTTATTAACGGTTTTTTGCTCTTTGCAGTAGATTTCATTCTTAGCTTCATATTAGATTTTCTATCCTCTGTCTTTGCAGTGTGAGCACTGTCTTCTGAGACAGATGACTAATTTCATTTCATTTCATATCCCCGCTTCATATTGAAGTTCAATTTCTCTTGTTTTGTATTTAGAGTTGAAGAGTCATACAGAAGGATGGTGAATCCTTCATGCCAAGAGGTTGATGCCAGCCCCTCCAAGGAAGAGGTTCTCAAGACTGTTCTGCAACTAATTAAGAAACACTGTGCTTTTTGAAAGCAACTTTTATGTAGTAGCACTTAAAAGATACTTTTTATTGCCCCACTGGTTTTGGTACCTGAAAATGTCGTGATGTGTTTTGTCTCACAGAAATACTGAATATGGTTTTATTCTGTCAACAGTAATCTGCGCAGGGTATCTGTTTTGTGGTTGTTACTGTACTTTTCTGTATAAGGCAAAATGCTACTCATGTCGTTCAGCATTCTTAGTAAAGAAACAAACATATTACAGTCATGCACGAAGTACCTCAGAGTGCTCTCTGACACCAGGACATTTTGAGATGCCATCATGTTGCATCTTCATCACCAGGAGAACCTATTCCCCAATCCACTGTGTACCAAAATTTGCTGCACTGCATCAGGAGCATTAAATGCCCGAGGAGAGGCTGAAATATCATCAGCACTAAAACAATAGAATGATCATAACATTTAGGAACAGAAAATCCAGTGCCCAGTGTTGTTTTCTTTTTGTTGTTTTTTTGTTGTTTTTTTGAATAGAGGATGAGCAGCTGTTGTTTTGATGGGCATCCTGGAAAAAAAAGTGTTGTAAATGAGTGCCAGTAAACACCAAGGGCTCTAAGTAACAAAGTCCAAGCCTGTTCATATATGCAACTGAAATATAAATTATTTCCAGAGGGAAACCAAACAGTGCCAGCAAATGAGAAACAGAGACCTGAGGAGAACCTGAAATTAAAAACTTATAAATGATCACTAAAATATATTTTACAAAAATTTTTCTCTATCCTATTAATATTTGTTAATGAGAACTGGTATTCTTTTGAGAGAATGCAAAATGAAAAACCACAGAGATTCTGAGCAATGAGAATGATTGCACCTTTTCAGTTCATCTTTTTTTCTTGCGTGGGTGTTTGAACAGGTTGAATGTGAAAGCAGGCTGCATCAAGACTTTAGATCTGCAGAGGCTTATTTTTATGTACATTAGTTTAACTATTGTTACTCCTAAGTGTAAAACTAAACACATGGATAAGCCTTTGTGAGGTCAAGAAATAAAGCTGCAGTTCCAGAAAAAAAAATCTTAAAATGTAAATTTGATTTAAAACACTTCTACTTACTTTTCTGTTTTAAGCAAGTGCAATTATCAATGAATCTGTCCTCTAAATAAAAGTATACTCAGTACTGTAGTTCCTATATTGAGTCTGTATATACAAGATGATAGAAAAACTTCTAAAACTGCATTTTATTCACGCACTGTTTTAATGGTTTTGAGTATGTTATTAATATATTATATAGTTTATACATTCTATAAATTTATAAATTAAAAAAATAAATGTTGTTTTGTTTGGTATATTATTAGTATTTCAGCAGTCTTTGGATTTGCCATACGTGCAGACTGAAAATGTAAGTGCTCCAATTATTTTAGAAATTATAAAGCATTCAGGTATTCAGTCCTGGATAGAGGAAATTCTTATATGGAAGACACTACTGCAGATGAACGATCAGGATGCAAATATGTGCCTGTCCTAAATATTGTGCAGCCTTAGCTTGTCCAGATAAAAGGTCATTCAGCCTGAGAAACTCCACTTGCCCTTTCTCCTTACATAAACTTGCACATGAAGTCAGATTTCCTGGGTTTTGATGCTGGGTTCTTAGAAGTGTAGATTCGTATTTGAAATGGTACTGATAATATATATCTGCAAAAATTGACATGAGACGTTATTAATTGCACACATGCAGAATATATTCATAGTTTAATTTTTCTATAACCCAAAGCTACTGATGCAGACTAAGAGAACAGCAAAGCAAGGTCGACAAAACAGAAATTCTCTTTTATCATATCTTTGCTAGAATTAAAGGTCTACAAGTTGTTCTGTGCCACATGCAGAATGTTAATGTGCAGAACCATTCCCATACTTTCCATTTCTGTGTCATTTCTGCCAGATTTTTGTCCACAGTGTCTAAAAAGACTGCACTTCATTTACATTTAGGACAAATCACAGAATCAAAAAATGGCTTAGGTTAGAAGGGATTTTAAGGATCATCTATTTCCAAATGCCCTGCTGTGGGATGAGATATACCACCCACTAGCCCAGGTTTCTCAGGGGCCCATTAAATCTGGACTTGAACACATCCAAGGATGATGCATCCTCAGTTTCTCTGTTTCAGTGCCTCCAGCCTCATGGTAAAGAATTTCTTCAAATTATTGAATCTAAATCTCCCCGCCTTTAGTTTAAGACTATTTTGCCTTGTCCTGTCACTATCTGCCCATGTGAAAAGCCGCTCTCCCCCTTGTTTATCAGACCTTTCGAGATATTGGAAGACTGTTCTAAGGCCTCCCCAAAGCATTCACTTCTCCAGGTTGAACAGCCCCAGCTCTCTCTGCCTTTGTAGGAGAGGTGCTCCAGCTCTCTGATCACATCTGTGGCCTCCTCTGGACCCACAGAAATATTCAAATGTGAGGTTTGTCAATGACTCCTGGTACAGGGGCAGGTCTGGGAGAGGAGCAGCAGGAATACACAAATGGCCATCCTGCATCCAGCAAGAGCAACACCTGGGTTAGAAACTAACAGAAATTTTGGTGGACAGTTGGATGGCCACAAGAGGTCAGGGTTTTTATTTAAGTGTTTGAAAGGCCTGTAACTCCAAGTATTTCCATGCAGGTTCAGAAACTTAGGCTGTTCCTTGGCAGGTAAAAGTGCTTTTCTGCAGCTTTGGAGGGTGCTCTCTGTGTAAGACCTGCTGTGTAAGGGAGGTTAAGCCATGTCACAATGCTGGCTCATGGCCACCAGCCTCTGCCAGGTAGTCCTGAGTGTTGTCAGCCCAGAGCACCCCTGCTTACCTGCAGCCAGCCCATGCTGGACACCAGGAGTCTGCTGGTAACAGAGAAGGGCTGCTCTCTGTCAGTCACCCTCAGGACAGAAAACATGACAAAGCCTGTTTCTATCCCAGAAAAAATAGTAATTTGATAATTTATTGATTTACTAGCTTTAGGATATGGTCCTGCAAAGACTCGGATGTTACAGTCCTCAGAGCATCTGGGGCATTAGGCCAGTAAATTACACAAACAGAAACTGAATCTCAAGCTTTGCAATTATTCTGTAGAAGCCAGTGAATTCAGCCCTTACTGAATCATAAATGCAATTAAAATTCAGCTGATTCTTGAAGGACAAAACAGTACTTCTGTTGTTGTCAGATTAAGCTTTGTATAGTTTTTTGTTTATTAAAATATTTTATTTTTTTCAAGAAATTAAATTTTTATTATTTTATTTATTCTGTATTGTGTATTTTATTTCATAGAACACACCATAGTATTTCAAGCATCTCCTTTCTCATTTTTAATCTCATTTGCTTCAATTTTTTTGGTCTAGAGGGGAATAAATACTAAAATAAGACAGTATTCAGTTGTCTAAACATAGACATCCACAGCAGTTAGTCTCCCTAAGGTATCTGAGATGTCTGTGTGGGGCTGCCAGATATGACATGAGACATTTGGTCGAGCTGTTGATCTGCAGAGTGGCAGCTGGAGGCCTGCAGGGATACCATATGGTGCCTAAAATGGCACTATTCACCCATTTAAACAGTGAGAGGGTTAGAAAGCAGCAGTGCAGCCTCTTTGGGTTGTGGCTACTTTAGCAGGTGGCCTGAAACAAGTAGGGATGATCTGTAGCACAGAGGAGCTGGCACAGGGGACCCAGTGTGTGCCCTCTGTGTATTTCAGAGATTTATTTTAGACCAGCTCTAATCTGGTCACATTGACTGGCCTCATGTTAGCAGCTGCAGTGCAGTAAGTGCACTCCTACACCAGATTTTTTTTGTGTAGCTTTCTCTGGATAGAGTTCTGGATGCCAGGAATGTTTCAGCATGTGAAGCAAAGCATGGTAAGGATGGATGCTCAGGAGGAAAGCTGCCACAGCATTCTCCTGATCCAAGCTGAAGTGCTAATGTGGATGTAGAATGTGGATGGTGTAGAAGAGATGTAGAAGCAACAACATAGATCTCTGGGAAGGGTTTTCTTGGAGGCAAAACAGACTTTGGGGCCACTTTCATCAGTGTACTAATTGAGGGCTAAGCTGGAACACACTATAGTTCCTTTTGGTTCACAGTCCTGGACTGCATGCCAGATACAGCCTCTGGACAGGCACAATGAGTGAATTTTGGTGTGTGTTTGACCCCGTCCTGCCATACATAGCACGAGGTGTAGCCATGAGGCTCACCCAATATCTCAGTAGTGAGTGGTGTCAGTCTGGGAGATGAGGAAGGTACTTGCAAGCAAATACCAAACTTCAGGAGTGAAATATAAGGCAGGTGTTTAGCCATTCCCCTCCCAAAAATAAGTTTACAAGACAATTACCCCAAAGTCAGATGCTAGGAGGTGACATGCAGGCTCTCTACGAAGGCATGAAATATCTATCTCCACTACAGCTACAGTTTCAGACTCATGATTTTTACCATTATTTTTTGCAGAGTTACCAAGAAATTTTATATATAAACGGATTTTTTTTATCAAGTAGGAGTTCACTAGTGCCTGGAATTAGCACATGGAAGCTAGAAAGGTCAGTTCTTAATTAGATTTTCTTCACTGTACTGTGTCTTTTCCCTACAGCATTACCAGCTTCTAGAAATTTGTCTAAAACTCTGCTATTAATTCCTGCCTTTTCAGAGGCAGGAGAGTCAGGACATTCAATGGGACTTTGATGAAAAGAAAAATGTCTCTCTCAAAGTTCAGGATAAACAAAACCCCTGAGGACTTTTTATTTTTATTTTGCTTTTCTCTTTTTCCTGCTTGTTCAGTCCCAGTTACCATATTTCATTAATTTGAATAGTTGAAGAAACTTTTAAGTTGTTGCTGCAGGGGGCTGCACTGACTTTGATCTTTTAAATAGAAAGCTTTGTTCAATAAAATTAAATCAGCTCTTTTGTAAAGACAAAGATCATCACCCTCTGGCTTAACTTAACTAAACAAATGTAGGGTTTATATAAATATGCAGTCAGTGCAATATGAAATAAAAGCTAGAGTACCTTGCCAATAGTGTGAAAATGCATTTTGTGTTACCAATTGGCCAGTCATGACCTTTTATTCAGCCATAAAGACAGTGCATGTCATGTACTCCAAAGCAGGGGAAATATGATGAAAAATGCTATGTCTGCAACTTCATTGCTTATGAAAATACCCAGACAGAAAAGCTGCACTTTAAGCATATGCCAAGTACAGAATGAGTTCCAGTAGAGTAATTTACTTTTTCTGCTGTTGTCCCCCTCCCTGGAGCCAGCTACACTGGTAAAAGCTTAATGCAGGTTGCAGAATTGCTTGGGCCTTCAGTTTCACTTCATGGAAGATGTTGTAACCAAGTAGGCACAGCTTGCCTTGAGGAGACAGAAAACAGAACTTTTGCAGATGTTTCAGACCACATTCCACACCTGTAAGTCTCCTGAGCCAGTGCTGAGGCTTTTGTTGGTGATACAAGTGCCACATCTCAAGTACTGT